GGGGGGAGTGATCGCGGCTCGGGACGGGCTGGGCACCGGTCAGTGGGTGGTGAGCAATTGCATTTTGCATCACTTGCTTTATATATATTCTGTATATTCTCTTACTATTATTATTATTATTACTACCATTGTTATTCTTCTCTCTTATTAAACTGTCTCTATCTCAACCCACGGGTCTTACTTTTTTTTTTCTTTTCTCCTATTCTCTCCCCCATCCCACAGAGGGAGGGGGGGGAGTGAGCGACAGGCTGCGTGGTGCTTAGTTGCCAGCCAGGTTAAACCACGACAACCCCAAATACCAGATAAAACTCAAGGTCAGTGTCTTAATAACAAATTTCCCAGGCAAAACATCACTAATCACTGCAGAGCACAGGAAACTGCAAAAGCCAACACCAATCCTTAACATGTACAGAAAAAAAAAAAAGTGTGGTGCAGATCAGATAAACGAATATTGACAACAGATGAATCACTATTGTGACTGGCAACTGTTAACAGATACAGATTCCTTATTATTCTCTGGTTAACTTGTTATTATCTAAAATCCTTCATACCCCACATTGGGCACCAAAAAGGATTGTTGTGGTATAAACCGGCAGGCAGCTGAACATGACACAGCCACTCTTTTACTTCCCCCCCTGCTCAGAGGGATGGGGGAAAGAATCAGAGCAACAGTAAAACACATGGGTTAAGATAAAGACAGTTGATTAAAACAGAAGAGGATGATGATGATAATAATAATAGTAATAATAATAATAATAATAATAATAATAATGCTACAATATACAAAATATACAAAACAAGTGATGCACAATGCAATTGCTTGCCACCTGCTGACCGATACCCAGCCTGGCCCCAAGCATCAATTGCTACCCCCAGCCAACTCACCCCAGCTTATAAACAGAGCATGTCATTTGGTATGGAATAGCCCTTCAGACAGTTGGGGTCAGCTGTCCTGACTATGCTTCCTCCCAGCTTCTTGTGCCCCTGGCAGAGCAGGGGAAGATGAAAAGTCCTTGACCGTTGTAAGCACTGCTTAGAAGCAACTAAAACATCAGTGAGCTATCAACATTCTTCTAGTACTAAATCCAAACCACAGCACTATGCCAGCTACTAGGAAGAAAATTAACTCTATCCCAGCCAAAACCAGGACAACGCTAAAATGCTTATATACTCTTAGAGTGGGTAAAATTATTTTCTTCGTAGAAGAAGTTAACCTCTGAAAATGGGATTGGCTACAGAAGAAAAAAAGAGAGGTTTTTGTTTCTTCTTTTTTTCTTCTGCTACAATTTTGACTGAGTTCTATCTCTTTGGTCATAGGCCAATAATTTCACCCACACTAAGAGTACTATAAAGTACTTTGAGCACCCCTAAAATCTAAATAAAACTGTAAAATTTCCTTCATACAAGAATCTTATGTATTAACATTCAATATGAAACAGAACGTTACCGTTTTTCTTAGACCTTAGGGTGTTTTTTTACTCTATAAAGTCTTAAAGTAAAAATCTCTCTAGTAAGTTTTCCACTTTAGTCATCACGTTATGTTCCAAGTGACAAAATCCCAGTGTATATCCCTTCACTTCTGCCTATGCAAACCATTCGCATGACAGTTTCCTGTGTCTTGTCCCTTGCAGTGGGTTGTGAGATGGGTGAATCTTTTTGAATTTGGCAAAGGAAATATTTTTGGTGCAACAAGTTGTCCAAAACTTATATGCGTGAATAGATGGTAGAGAAGTGGAGAAAGAGAGGAGCAAGAAAAGAAAAAGAAAGGAGAGGAGGATGGAACAAGGACAGGTATCACCTGTCGTGGATGGAGTGAGAGGGAGGCAAAAATATTGTGCTTTATTGGTGTAAAACAGTGAGTTAACAAAGTTCAGTGGTAACTGCGACAATAATTTATAAGATTCGACGGCAAGGTACACTTTGTTATTTACTGCACAGAGGACAGGGTCAGACAAGACTGTTAGGGAGACCCTCCCGTTGAGTCATGAGGTTCAGAAAAGATCCCCTTGCTTTCTAAACTCCCTCAGAGAGGAGTCTAGGTGCGGCTGGATCCAATCCTAGTCCCACACTTGGTCAACTGTTTATGTCTAAAGGATTATATATGTCACTTAGCTAAGATTTCCAAGTTAGCATGCTGTTAGTCACTTACCGAGAATCTGTCATGGTAAGGAATCTCTCAACCTCGAGGAGTAACCTTGAGAGGCGTCCCTGCTCCTGGGCAGATCCTGGCATGCAGCCCGCTGCCATGCAGGAGAGCTCAAAGGGCTCTTGGGCTGCTCACTATTTATGGGGGTAAGATGATTGGCTCATAGTCATATTTGCATACTGACCATTGTGCTTAGGTGGGCACATTCCACAATAGCCCTTGGCTATTGCATTGTTATCTGTCTCCCCCCACATCCAGTGGGCGCATCCTTCAGGACCAGACACAGACCAGATGCATCTATCACCACGGCCACAGGTAGTTATCACTTGAAAGAGGTCAAAGGAGGGGGAGTCAGAGATGAGGGGGGAGCACACTGCCACATCACCACCTTTGGATCCTGCATGGTCATCTTGGGGTAGAGTCTAAATCTGTAGGTGACGGGTTGACAAGGCCAAATGTGTGCACTCATCCTTATATAGTCTCATTAGTCCAAGACCACACCTGGAGTGGCAACCGTCTTGCTCTGACAGCTCTCAGGGAGACCGGGGAGCATCAAGGGGACCTGGAAAGGACAGGGACACTCCTTAGGGGGACCTGCTGGGGACTGGGACAGCTCACAGGGGGACTTGGGGGGAATGGGGGTTAAGGGAACCTGAGAGGGACAGGGACAGCCCTCAGGGAGAGCTGCAGGGGACCAGAACTGCTCACAGGGGGACTTAATGGGGACAGGGGTGCTGAAGTGGGGGAGAGGGACAGCCCTTGGGGGGGGCCTGGGGGGTAACAGGGGGACCCCCAGTGGGACTTGGGGGAGGGACAGCCCTCAGGGGGAGATACAGGGGACCAGGACAGCTCACAGGGGGACTTAATGGGGACAAGTGGACCTGGGGGGGCTGCTGTGCGGGAGAGGGACACCCCCTGGGGGGGACCTGGGGGACAGGGGGAGCCCCGGTGGGACTGGGAGAGGGACAGGGACAGCTCTCAGAGGGAGCTGCAGGGGACTGGGACCACTCACAGAGGGATTTAATGGGACAGAGGGACTGGGGGGCATCAAGGGGACCTGAGAGGGACAGGGACAGCCCTCAGAGGGACCTGGGGGACTCTTCAGCGGGAACTGATGGGTTGGTGGGTACAGGGACGTCCCTCAGGGGGAGAGTGGGACACCTCAGGGCCATCCTTCAGAGGGACCAGGAGGCTCCTCAGGGTGATCTGGTGGGGACAGGAACACCTTTCAGGGGAACCTGGAAGAACAGGGAGGGCTAAAGTGGGACAGGGGAGGACCTGGGGGGGGACAGGGACATCCCTCAGGGGGACGGAGGGGACGCTTCAGGGGCACATGGGAGGGTGAATGGAGATGGACAGGCCTCAGGGAAACCTGGGGACACTGGGACACCCTCCATGACAGTGCTCTTGTGGACACGCCACTCGTTTCCGGCTCCTCGCTGGCCCGGACATGAAGCTGATGGAGATGGGGCTCTGTTGTGCTCAGGGGCCGGACAGTGCCCTTTCAGCCTCCAAGTACTCCTACATTGGGGGTGAGTGCTGCGCCACGGCGCCCCATGACACTGCAGCCATGCCATCACCCGTGTGTCCCCCCCGTCCCTCCTCACAGGCTTTGACTGCACCAGTAACATCCTGGAAGGAAAGCTCTATGGCATCCTGGTGCACGGCACTATCGCCCACACCTTCATCATGTCCTTCACCTCACTGGAGGAAGTGCAACCCTGGGTGAGCATCACTGGAGGCAGGG